CACATGCAAATGTTCATGTGTTTGTTGATCGTGCATGAAACTCGTCGGCTTGTGGCCAGCACATTTGCCTTGACGTTGTGCAGCACGAGTAAATTGACAGGAAGGACAAGTGAAAGGGAAGACAAGGCCAGCCCAAAAAAATAAAAAAAAAATAAAAAAAGACAAGCAGGCTGGACAGGGAAACGAACTGGACCTTGGTATGCAGGGTGACGTCAGGTGACATCAGGTGACTGAGACATAACTATGTCTCAGTCAGCTGAGTTCCAGGCAATCCCTTAAAAAGAACATGAGGTTTTCATTTCACCTCTCTTTCATCTAACTTTTTTTATGTACAGAAATTGTATTTTCCAAACGTTTTCACCTTGTGTCGCCCGCTCATTTTTCGCCAAAAAAGGTAGAGCTATGGGATTCGATCCTTGCACCTGCTGCGTGCAGGCTCCTCCCGATAACCAACGTAAGTTACATTTTCCTTTATCATACGACCGCTCCTTTGCATTACAGCAAAAAAACTAGAAATAAATTTGATGTTTGTGTGTGGGGTGTCTTTGGACTCATACCTGAGTCTCTTGTAACTAAGTTGAGGCCCATCAACCAGCTCACCTAAATTACTTTTGTTGTTTTACCCTTTAATTTTATGCCTAAATTCTTATGGAAAATTAAGAGGATTGAGATGGGAGCACGCAATCCTTGCTCCCATTATGGTAGCATGTTTATCTTCATCTCAAGACCAGGAGCACGCAACCAATGCATGTCATCGGGCTTCTGGACTTAATAACTTAGGTACAAATACCACGATAACTTTGATCCGTGGATCAAAATTATTGAAAACATACCACTGATAAATTTTTTGTAAATAGCACGATAATATACATTCCCGAACTTGATAACTTAGGTATCAACACCGCGATAATTTTGACCCGTGGAAAAAAGTTGTTGAAAACATAATCCGGTAACATCTGTGTAAATAACATGGTAATATAAGCTCCCGAACCTGATAACTTAGGTACAAACACCACGATAACTTTGACCCGTGAAAAAAAGTTGGTGAAAACATACACTAATAACCTTTTTTGTAAATAGTATAATAATATAGGCTTCTGGTCCTGATAACTTGGATACAGACACCACGATAACTTTGACCCATGAAAAAAAAATTGAAAACATACCACTGATAACTTCTCGTGTAAATAACGTGTTAATATACACTTCCGGACATGATAACTTAAGTACAAACATCACGATACTTTGACTCATGTAAAAAAATTGTTGAAAAAACATACCATTGATAACTTCTCGTGTGAATAACATGTTAATATACACTTTCAGACATGATAACTTAAGTACAAACATCGCAATAACTTTGACTCATGTAAAAAAAGTTGTTTGCAAACATACTCCAATAACATTTGTATAAATAACATGATAATATAGGCTGCCCGGACCCGATAACTTAGGTAAAAACACCACGATAACTTTGATCCGTAAAAAAAGTTGTTGAAAATATACTTTGATAACCTTTTGTGTAAATAGCATGATAATATAGACTTCCGGTCCTGATAACTTAGATACAAACACCACGATAACTTTGACTCATAAAAAAACTTGTCTAAAACATACTCCGATGGGATCTATGTAAATAACATGGTAATATTTGTATAAAGAGTTGATAACTTATTTAGCCCAGGCATGATAACTTTTGACCCAAAAAAAAGTATTCGAAATATGCCAACATGGTATCTAGTTTTGCAGGTCTCACCACGGCGGATTTTTTTTGTGAAAACAAATTTTTGATCGAACAGACGGTTTGAACTACAAAATATTCTGAAATTTCAAAATAAAGAGAATATACGATGACATTAGTTTTTCTGCACTCTTAGTGCATTTGCACGTGGGAGAAAGTAGAAAGAAATCATTTTTATGCCTGGAATTTACCTATGCAAACATCGTGGTAACTTATATAGCACAGACGTGATAACTTGTATACCCTAGGTGTGGTAACTTTTTATTCGAAAAAAGTCGTCGAAACATATCGACATGGGATCTAGTTTCGTAGGTCTTGTCGAGACGATTTTTTATGTGAAAACTGTTTTTTAATCCGAACGACGGTTTGAGCTATAAAACATTTTGAATTTTAAGTTTTAGTGGAATCTTTTGTGACATCATCAATTTTGTTTTTATGTGCATGCACTTATTTACGAGGCTGAATTCCTTCCTAATGAAAAAGCATTTAACGCATCTTACATGCTATTTTGTTAGCGAGCTTGCATGCAATCACACCCCTGTGGGATTGTTCGGATCTATACCTATAATCCGAACGTTTGGAATATATAACAGTCTTCTTATGTATGTCTCGCTCTTTGCTTCTCTTTGATTATTTTCTCTCATCTCTGATTTTTCTCTCATACATTCTCCCTAAAATAGAATCAATTGTCTCGTGTTTTATTAACTTATCAAAAAACACATTTTATTTGATAAGTAATTAAATTCTTACCAAGTAAGTGCTTAACAATAAAATGGCAGGTAAATCATGGCGATTGCATACAAAAACTTGCTAAATTTTAGCGCATCAATATAATAATAGACAATCTATATATTCTAAAAAATTGTCATATTCCCGTTGCAACGCACGGGCAATTGTCTAGTAATGTCTAACAAAATGATTTTTCCAGAAGAAGAAGAAACTAACATCACATAATTTCAAAAAGAAGCCAATGCCATCCCCAGATAGTATAGCAGGATAAACTGGCTCTCTCTATGTACTGTGATGTACCAGCCATTGTCCTCTGATCTTAGCAACCAAATCAGAGCAGGGCCCTCCGAACGACATGAACGTGTGTTCTCCACTCCCGGCTTGGCCTGCAAATTACCAGTGCAAACAATTAAACATTTTTTATGTACTGCACAGAAATTATGTTCTGCTAACATACAGTGAAATTAGAACAAGGCATAGCTGCACAAATTGCCCAACTACTTCTTTCCAACGCTTCACTAACCCGTAATCCACACTTGTAAGTCGCTGATGGGCTGATGCTCACCATTTCATGACTAATTTGTACAAATCAGTGTACTCACACCTCTACTGTAACGAAGAATATCATGGCTGTATACAAGTATCCGTCCCGAAAGCCGGCAGATCCATTGGCGCTGCACTTTCATCCGCCTCCTCCTTTCAAGTGGGTCTGGTGCAGACAGGAAACAATCAGACAAAAAATGAAGAAGGATCGAGGACCGACGAATAGCAGATCAACAAAAAAAAATCCTACTGACAGGCTGCATTACGAATTCCGCTGGCAATGAAGCGCCGATCTAATCAGTGAATACGTCAACAAAATCGATAGGTTTGGCGCATACCTTTCCTCTGGTTGCATCAGGAACTCCATGAGCTAGATCTCGGGATGCTCCTTCGCACGCCGGCAGGGATCCTTGGCACGGCGACCTCGCTTGTGGCGGGGGCGGGGAATGGATCGAATGCAGCCGAATAGCAGCCAATCCACGCGCTGCTCCGACGGCAGACGGAAACTGTTTTTCCTGTTCCACGGATCAGGATGGCGGCGGGCGTCCCGAGCCACGGATCAACTCCGACGGGGTACTCTTTCCCATCATTATCTGGTCTCTCGTATATCGCTGCGCCATTAAATGCGCCGCATCTCAAGAAGTGAACGAGCCGCCCTGATAGCGAGCACATGTGTGCTCGTGTGCAAAAACACCGCGTCCATTTACGATACTCTTTTGAGAGCAGTGGTTCTTGTCACAGGCGTGCCGTAATAGACGACACGCATTATATTACAGACACGTATACACCGAAAGGTTTGTTCTTCGTCCATCATAGGAACTTGTGAAGTAAAGTGGCAGAGAAAAGAAGAACGTTCGACGACGACGGACTCAACTTCGAAAGGTTTCACGATGGAACAAGGTACACTCGGATCATGAATAGAAAATCTCTCGTATGTTTTGTTGAATCATTTGTATTGCAGACATTCCGCACTTAAAGAAATTTTGCTTACAGGACCTCCCTTCTTGGACTTGTTTGCACAAATGGGTTGGACAGTCCAACCATCTCCAACTTGTTTCCACAAATGTGCCAGACAGTCCAACCATCTTCAAGCACCTCCTATGCAGCGCACTTATTTGGCCTGGGGGTCGCATACAACCTCTGATGAAGATGACGGAAAAAAACTGTTTGATTCAACGGGATATGTAACTTTCATGTTGGGCACCTTTTCATTTGAGGCCATCTTAAAGATGTTTTGTGCAAGCCAAAACCTGGTGTAACACAAATCATTACACAATCACAGGATGAGTTGAAGACTGGACAGTCCTAGCTAGATGGGTAATGCTCAGTAGATAATTTTACTTGCCCAGCCACTGCCAGCCGGTTCCATATTTTAACTTCTCAGCGTGCTTGCGGCTTATTGGACACCAGCCGCGTTCATGCTTGAACAGACATATATATTGCAGTTAATTATTCTAGACCTCCTGTATTTTACAAATATAGGGTATAAAAAATATTAGCCACATCTTCATGTTTAAAGCAGCGATTATCTTCTTACTGACCAGACATGAGGTGGGATCTTGTAAAAACAACAGCTTTGCTCTGCACATATCACACGTTATGGTGTATTTATTCTGCGTCTCCTGTGTTTACAAAGAGCATATCAAAATATTGCTGGCAGCTTACTGTTCAAAGCAGTGATTTTATTCGTCAGGGAACCACTTTAATCATCTATTCCTCTTCACTATTTGGATGGTACAAAACCTTAATGCAGAGGCTTATGACGCTTCTATAGCTTCTATTTCGGCAAATGAAATCAGGGTTTTTATTGCCGCCTGCAAGTGTTTCAGCTTTTATATTTTGAAATGCTAAAAAAAACTGACGTCAGATTTTTAGGCATAGCAAATCAAACGTTTTTCATGGCAAATTATGTTTGCCGAGGGTGGTAAGTTTAGTTGCCATCCTTGCGCCAACGTAAATTGCCAAAAAAACATTTGATCTGCCGTGCCTAAAAATCTGATGTTCCATGGATATTCGGGTCCCTTATATTTGCATAATCTGGAGCTGAACTGGAAGATATAGCAGTTTCCTGGCCTAAGTCCTGCTTGTCATCTAATATCCTACTTGCTTCCCCAATTGCAAGGATTAGCTCAAGTTGCTTTTCTTGTTGTTCCTGCAAGATATATTAACGGGAGACTTCAACAAAAGGTGAAAAATAAATATAACTCCATACAGGGGAATGCATGAAGAATGAAAAAGCACCCGAGAAAACATTACAGTCCTTAAGAGTTAGTGTCGCATGCGATGACTGGTACCGGTCCTAAGACAGATGAACTTCATTGCTACCAGTCTTAAGACCGATGAACGTGACAATGTTTGGGTACATCTCAGAGGAGCGAGGATTGGCTGCCCATGGTGTCGGCAATGAGAGAAGGTTGGGGACGAGGATTGGATTTTTACTAATTATTTTCCTTCAACAGATAATCTGTATGACAACGTTAGCTATGGTTATCCCTCAGATAGTGGTATGGGCAGTGATATGGACGCCACTTGTTTTCTTTAGCCATTTGTTAAATCTTACCTGTCTAAGGTATATTTCGATTCTGTTATTACTTGTATCTTGATCACAAGACCTTTGTATGTGTTCATTAGTTAAATTTGACTCGTTGGAGTCGTTGTGTATATATTAACTTCTTCTACGCCCCGGCCATTCGAACCACGATCGAACTCGCTCATTAAGAAAGTGACCACGTCCCAACCCGCAGTTTCCACCTGATGGTAAAAGACTCTTGCACATATATGTAACCATGTCCTTACTATCCTAACCCACAAGTTTCTTCAACCAGTAAAATTGACTAGTAAATTATAAAGAAATATAAGAGCGTTTAGTGATCTTTTGGAGCTTTTTTGGAGCTTTTTAACGAGCGAGTTGACTAGTAAATTATAAAGAAATATAATAGTGTTTAGTGATCACTTTACTAGTCAATTTAACCGTGCTATATATAGTACTCCCTCCGTAAAGAAATAGGTACTTTTGGAGCTTTTTTGGCTTTTGATGAATCAATATAACCTATTTGAGCTCCAAAAACCATAAAAGCTCCAAAAGCACCTATTTAGGATCTTTTATGGCTTTTTGGCCAAAGTGGAAAAGCTGTAAAAGCAGAAGCAAAAGCCCAAACAACACATATTTACTAGTACATGTTATCTGAAATTTTATTAACAATGTCCATGCATTTACCCAAAAAGGCTTTCACCTCGCTTTATATATAAAAGCAACGATCAACAACCCGGTACAAACGCACGCCACCACAAGACACGTACACACCCAAGACATGATACATACACGTTGAGCGCAGCCACACCACCCCTAGCACTACAAGAGCAACCAGAGGCTTCAACCATGAATACGCCACTGCAAAGAGATGAAGCCGTGTACGACGAACCGTGGGCTCAAAGGCGACGACTTCAAGAAGGTTATGACACCGGAGCGCCGCCACCGCCCAATCCGAGGATCAAAGTTTCCCCTGGAGCAACACGAGGGCAATGAGAGCCGGTACGACGCCTTCAAGAAGGGAACAAGCTTCGCCGCCGCCGGTCGGTTCAAAGATAGAACAGGTTTTCACCCTGGCCAACACTCACCACCACCGAACGCCACAACCCAGCCACCACAACACGGCCATGGCCACCGGGCAACACCAAGCCACGGGTTGTGCCCATGAGCACCGCGCTACCACCACCAGGGCCGCCGCCCCGGCATCCAAAACCTTGACACCACCTCACCCGAGACCCGCCGCTACCCCAACCAAAGAGACGAGCGGAAAGGCCCCGCCTTTCGCACCCCTGGGCGGCCCCCGGCGTCGAGACCCTATAGGCCGGCCAAAACTAGCCTCCGTCTACCCGTCCTGCAGCACCGGGCGCAAGACGAGCTCGGTCCTGCAGCCGGGCACGAGACGAGCTCGGTCCTGCAGCACCGGGCGCGAGACGAGAGATGGACCGCAGCTGGGAGAAGGCCAACCCTTCAACGAAAGTAGCGCCCGAACAATGAGAAGAGATAGCGAAGGCCGACACAAGCCGCCTACGAACGAGTCTGACGCCAGCACAAGCCAGCCGCCGCCGCAGCCGACCTGCAAAGCTGCCGTGGAGCCACCCACGGCCGGAGCAGCAGCAGCCACACCGGGCCACTGCCCAACCCGCGCCGCCCGGCGAGCTCCAAGCGTTGGAGCCGTTGGGCACGCACCGCCACCACGCCGCTGCTACCCCCACCCAACAGTGAAGAGGAAACAACCGACCGTGACCCAAGCCATGCGCAGCCGTGGCACCAGGTAGACCGCCGACAATGCCAAACGTTGCCCGCCTCCGCCCCAGTCCACCCCACCACCGCCGCCACCACACCGCGGCCCCTACCTACATCAGGGAGAAGCCAGCCATGGTCGATGCCGCCCACAGCCCCCGCCGAAAGACGAGCCACCGGCACCGGATCTGGCCCGTGCAGCCTCACGCGCCGCCACCTGATGGGGAGGACACACCGCAGCCGCCGTGCACCGTCCAGGCCCCAGGGCGCCGTCATGCCGCTGCCCCGCACTCCCAGCGCCACGCCGCCGGGCCCGCAGCCACCCGACGCCCCCGCGCTGTCCCTCGCCAGCCGCTGACCATGCCGAGGGGAAGAAGCTCCCCGCCGCCACCTACGCCAGCCGGGCTTTGCCCGACGACGCCTAACGGCGGCGGTAGGGGAGAGAGGCCGAGAGGAGGGGACAGTGCGGAAGCGGCCAGATTTGCCCCTGAGGACGATTGCGGGAGCGGCTCGGGGGGAGGGGGGTGCACCAGCCTCTACCATGTCCATGCATCTATGGTAAAGAAGTTACTAACTGTACTACTCCCTCCGTTCCTAAATACTTGTCTTTCTAGGCATTTCAACAAGTGACTACATACATAGCAAAATGGGTGAATCTACACTCTAAAATATGTCTACATACATCCGTATGTAGTAGTCATTTGAAATGTCTAAAAAGACAAATATTTAGGAACGGAGGGAGTACATGTTATACTACTGATTGTTTTCCTAGGAATGTGCAGTAAAGTGGTTAGCATTTTTACTATGTGTTGCATGGGGTGTTATGACAAACTTCATGGCCAGACATGTGTAGTACAAAAGTGCATCTACAGTAAAGAGGTTACTAATTTTACTACAGGTTCACTACCGATTTTCTGGATATGTCTAGTGGATAGGCCATGACAATTGCCAATTGCGTGTATAGGACATGACAATTTGGCTGGTGCGGTTCTGCTACTAGAGCATTGCGGTTCGGATGCATTTTTTTTGTTTATTTTAGGTTGTGTTCTGTGATTTGGACGGCTGTGTGTATATGTGTACTATCGTCTATTTTGTTTTTGAAGTTTAGTACTGTTTCATGTGAGATTATGGTTCAGTGTAAAATACTCCGTGGTTCACTTGGTAAACGACCAAAAGAAGAAAAAGTATCTCAAAGAAGTTTACTCCTTTTTAGATGTAGTTCACTAGTTATATACCCCCGCGGTTCACTTTCGCAAGTTCGATTCTTTCTAGATGTAGTTCACTAGATTCTGCCCCCGCGGTACACTTTCCACTTTCGAGAGTGATGTTGTTCACTTGCGCCTAACTTGAAGTGCGAAAAAAATTTAGGGAAACAAGAAAAAGAGTAATGTGGTTCACTTTTCGATAGTGTTGTGGTTCACTTGCCCTCGTCTTTGCGGTCCCACTTTCGTTCATAAAAAGGTCAGAAAAGTGACAGCAAAAACTCATGTGGTTCACTTTAGATAGTGTCACGGTTCACTTTCGGTAGTTTCGCAGTTCACTTTCAGTACTGTTGTGATTCACATTCACTTACTCCCAAAAATGTGAAGTGCAGAAAATTGTCATGAAAACGACAAAAAAAAATAATGCGGTTCACTTACGCCTGATGTGAAGCGCACTCCACCTCCTCCTCCGGGGAAATTTACATCTGACAAAAGAAATCATGCAGTTCGCTTCCCCGTTTGATGCAATGCGGCTTTCAGTCTTAATCAGTGCACTCTTCTGTTTGACGCGGTCCACGCGTCGGTTTTGGTGTCGTGAAAAGCAGAGCATCCGCATTTCGGTAATTTCAAAACTGCTCTTAAACCGTAAGCAATTAGAGTGTTCTACATCGAAAAGTTGCGCCTCGTTGATATCTTTTCAAGGGCATATCATTTGCATCATTCCGATGAGCGGTTTGGTAAAATTACGAAAAAACGTTCGCCATCACTCGTTAGTTGCCGCACCATTTCCAAAATTAATTTTAAACCAGGAATCTCAAAACATGTTCTACATATCAAAGTTGTGGCTCTTCTATAACTTTCCAACGGCGCATCACACGCCTCGTTTCGACAAATGGTTAAAAAACTTCCGCAAAAACCGTATCGAAAAAATCCCAAATTTTAGAAGAGTTTTCGTGTTTGGGTAAATTTGAAATTGCTCTTAAACCGTAAGGAATTAGAGAGAGTATTCTATATGAAAAAGTTGTGCCTTGACGATATCTTCCCAACGGCATATCATTTGCATCGTTCCGACGAGCCGTTCGGAAAAAAACGCGAAAAGACGCTCGCTGTTACTCGTCGGGCACCGCACCGTTTTCGAAACTGCTCTTAAACCGTGAAAAATCTCGAAAAGTGTTCAACATGGCGAAGTTGCACCTAATCCATAGCTTTCCAACGGTATATCACACGCCTCATTCCGACAAACAGTTTAAAAATTAAATAAAAAACAGTATCGAAAAACCGCATGCAGTTTTTTGCGACGAGAAGTTCATTCGTCTCAGTATTGCAGTACTCTTACTTAAAAAATGTCGTGCACTTGCGTTGAGCATGCAGTTCGAAAGTGTTAGCACAACATATAAACAAATGTTTCCTACCACCAGTGGTAGTTACCTTCACGTTAGTTTTGTATGTTGTATGTAGTATCTGTCAAAACCGAGTATATACCTGTAATATGTACTCCCTCCATCCGAAAATACTTGTCATCAAAATGGATAAAAAGAGATGTATCTAGAACTAAAATACATCTAGATACATCTCCTTTTATCCATTTTGGTGACAAGTATTTCCGGGCGAAGGGAGTAGTATATAAGAACATTTGGATAGTATATATACTATTCTTTAGGTAGTATGCACAATTTTTTT